TCTTCTTTGTTTATTTGTACTGTAGTGTACGACGAAATGGATTGGATCAAGTGCAGTGGCAAGTGGGGTCATTATGTATCTCTCTCTAGAGTGAAAGGTCTCTCTTCCCGAGATTGCAGTTGTCGTTTTCAATATGAGTCGAATCAGTTAATGGGGATCGGATAAAGATTGGGGCTTTCGACTACTCGCGATCACCCTGTCATCGTTCGACTAAATGTGTGTTTTTGGCATCAGAGCTAAGTTTAAGCAGTATGGCTTGCTTTGGATTTTTTTGTTGTGGAAATAAGTCGAACCAGTATCTACGGCGGCTATTGCCAATCGAACTGGTTCAGTTCAGCTTTGGACCGAACTGAGCTGAATATTCAAGTTTGAATGTCAATTTGTGTCTCGTTTAAGAATCATATGTAACTTCATTGAGATGGTTTTGATGCAGTCATTTTCATATGTAAACTTGCGTTCTTTCCTACTCTCAGCTCATATGGTTAATACCAGAAGACCTTTTGCAAATTTCCGAAATATCCAAATCGCATCTTTAGTATCATGTGCTGCATGGGTGTTTGTTATGTGAATTTGTAGGCATTAAACTTTTTTGGTAATTTAACGGTTATAGCTATTTTATTTTACACAATCCAATTTCATTATTGTAGTAGTATCATGAATTGATTTTATGCTAAGAACTTTTCAGCTTTTACATTTTGACTGTGTGTATTTTTCTGATGAATTTGCGATTTAAGTGTTGTATACACACATTGATGAATAAAAAATAAATTAATCAACTTAAGTATACAGGGTAAATCTTTTAATTAAAGTAAGGAAAATGCTAGTGTTCCCAAGGCACTTGTTAAGAGTCGATAATCATGATTTGGGGATATGACCATTTGTATTTGGAACATGGCCGCTTTTTTGAAGTATCCTGTATGCACTATAGGAAGAAAGGAAAACCTCAAGCTGAAAGAACTTGCAATTTCTGCTTATCTGGTTTCTTCTTTTCCCTTCTAAGGTGATTTATTTAGAAGAAGTTATGCAGCAGTTAAGGTAGCTCCATCCCCAGGCCTTGGCTTAGCTTAGTCACACATCTATCTCACTCGTAACTACCTGACATAGGCTATTAGTCTATTAAGATTATACGGAACCAGAGTCGCCAACAGCATTCGGTCTTGTGTGTAAGAGAAAGTTATGCAGCAGTAAAGCTAGCTTGGGCTGTAGTTTTCTAGTTTGTCTCTGAAATGCAGACTTTGTGGCATACCGGGAAAAAGAGGGATATTCATTTGGAGACTGATAATTTTTTTGCATGACTAACAACAATGTGCATGCCAGAATGGTGAGATCAGACTATGACAATCAATACATACTTATAGATCCAGGAAAAAAGGGCTTGACTTATTTAAATAGGGCACTTGTGTTGTAGACTGTGTATTATAGGCCATAGGGCTTTACTTCATTGCTTTTAGGTACAGAGGATAACGTATTATATGAGGAGCACCTTACTAGCAGAAGATGCATCGGTGAATTTTAGAGTGCCTACCTAGCCAGCAACCCTCTTTGCGTAGTAATCCAGCTGGCTAAAAACTCATGACAACAAACATGTCATTGTTACTTCCTGAGGTTCCTGTTAACGTCCAACTATAATTTGGATATTTATTATAGAGTTTCTCGCAGTTAAATTCTTGTAGGCTTCTAAGGGATCGTACTTAATCTCAAATACCACATAATGATTTATTGTTTACGTGACTTCTGACAGTTAAAGCAGCCATGAAAGCTAATTGTATTTTCCTTTATACCTGACCAACGTACATTATACAACTATGAATGACATGTCTTTTGCTTAAAACATATCTTTAAATAATACATTTTGCTAACAACATGACTTGGTATGTATTTACAGTCTGTGGGAAGTGGCTAATCTAGTCCTAATGAATTTCGCGGCAAATTTTGTTTACAATAGGTGAAACAATAATTTCTCCTGGATCCAGGAAAGGGATGGTTCCCCTTGCCATTCCTTTAGCAAAAAGTTGCTCAGGTACATATGATCCATCTCAAAGAATTATGCATTTTGAGTGGCAAATACAGTTTCACTTATGACTTGCTTGCAATAGGGGCTATTACTGCACTGCTACGTTGGCCTGCAGCTCCATCTGGGTAAGAAAATGAACATTGGCGATGTCTTCTTTTTGTGGATTATTGTGATTGCATTACCATAGTGTATTGTGTACAGTATGGAGATGCCAGTGGTTGAGGTTGACAAGCATGGAGTGTACCTATTAGCTAAATCTGTAAGTTGAGCATATGGACATAGGCATAGCTGGATATGTTGTTACAAGCATCTCACTTGCATGTGCAAACTGTCCTTTGCAAACCCAAGTATGTCTATATCTCTCTTCCAGATCGATGGCATAGTTCATGCATGCATCTGCCAGATAATTGGCATATTAGTTTTCACGATTTAAGTGCGACTGCCCTTGTTCCTGTTTGAGCTTTTGCTCAGGGCTTACTTTTATACCCTCTCTCTCTCTCTCTCTCTCTCTCTCTCTCTCTCTCATGTATTTATAGGCATATCCACAAATACACCGGAGTAAAACACCCATGTGCATATACTGTCTATAGCTATAGACATACAGGTTTGGATAGCATATTCCAGAAATCATGGTTGTTCTCTTTCGCTTCGAAGTTCAGGTAGATCATTTTCTTCATAGAGTTCTCCTTGAAGAAGACACCCTTGGTTCTCTGGATGCAAGCAACAAGCTACTTCATGCTTCAGCTGGTGCTAGAGGAAGACTTTATAAAGAGGGAGATTTCACTAAGTCTAAAATCTCAAGTTTTGATATCTATCTCCTCAAAAAGGTACTAATTAACTTGATTGCTCTAAGTGAGCTCTGTGAAAAGGTATGATGAATGGATCAATTTCAGGTTGGTTTATTTCCAGATATCTTGGAACGCAAAGCACTGAACCACTTTGAGAAAGGAGACCATGTGAGCATCATCTATTGCAGTTATCTGTATGATTCTTTCAGCTCAATCCAAGGGCTTTCTCATCTGTAATTATTCATCAAAGGTTTCAGCACTAGTCACAGCAGAGTTCTGCACGAAGAAGGAGAACTTTCCAGGATTTGCTCGGCCTTTTGTTTTCAACGCAGTACTTTTACTGAAGTTTGTGAATAATCTCTTTTTACCACTTCTCTTCATTAAACTTACATAAATAATTTGAGAGGTGACCGCTTGCTCAGAAAAGCCTTATGTCCATTTCTAAGGGTTGGCCGTTTCCTCGAAGCCAAAGACGCTGCAAGAGGGGCTCTAAAACTGCCATGGTGGACTCTGGGTTGTAAATATGAGGTATACTCTTCTTTCATCACTATTCCGCATGCTTTCCTGCCTTCCACCGGTAGTTAGGTTCTTCTCGACTTCTTCGCAGGCTGTTGCTGAGATAGCAGAATGGGAGGATGAGCAAATTGAACGCATTAAAGAGAAAATCACAGAAAGGGGTAGGGAAGAGGACCTGATGAAGGGAAAGCCACCCGCCCAGGTACTATTTACGAGATTATCTGTCAATCTCCATTTTATCAATCGGTATATGCATGTTTATATGGAAGGTTGAATTGCAATCCTGGCTTATAGATAAAATTAGGGAAATGTTCTTCCCTATCAATGTTACGCCAACAGACTTCTGCTTTGCACTCGCAGATTGCATTGGATGAAGCTGCTTTTCTAATGGACTTAGCTTCAGTGAACGGGACTTGGGATGATTCTGTTGATAGGATAGGGAAATGTTATGAAGAGGCTGGACTTCACGATATTGCACAATTCGTACGATATCAAGAGTGAGCATAAAGCCAAGGTGGTTATTGCTCATCTGAAACATAGTTTGATTAGCGTGTTCTGTCATTGCCAACTATCCTCAATACAGAAGAGAAAAGTCTTCGGTTCTTGAACTTTGGTCTTTTGCCGCTGCCACATTAACTCCATTTCCTCCTAGAGCGGATTCTTTCTGTATACTATTAAGGTATGAATTTAGAGGGACTTTGCTCAGAACCATGACAAAACTTTCTAGGAGTAGAAAGATCTGTTGTAATAGCTCATCTTTTTATCATAGTGATCGTGTAGCAAACTTTGTTTAGAGATTATAGTTGAGTGACGATGGTGACCCAATAATACATAGGCTATCCAGTTCACCATGAACGCTCTGCTTGACATCATAGAATTAAGGATTAATGACATGGGAGGTCTCTGAACTTTTTCGATTTGTGCAATGTAATTTCAGTACCTTTTTTGTGTGCAATCAAGTCCTCAAACTATATATTTATTTGTTCATGTTGGTCCTTCTGTTAAAAAACCGACGGAAATGGTGACGTCGCCGTTAAGTGCCACACGCGCACTTATGTGGCAGCGACATGGCGCCTATGTGGCACAAATAAAAAAAGTTCAGAGACCTCTCATATCATTATCCCAAGAATGTACGTTTGCTGGTGTTTGTCTGGTTGAAGTTTTAAAATTATTGTATTATCTCAGAGGACATTTCGGTTAAAACTGAAAATGATTGATCCAGAATGCACTGCACGCATCAAACAAGTTCATCTGCATTTCAATACTCTCCACAGCAAGTCGGTTTATGCTGGACTCCAGCAGTGGTCTGTGGCAGTGATGAAAATTCAGTATGGTAAGGAAACTAAAGCAGCCAATCCATTTTCCATTGGAATCAAGGTTCATGTAAATCCAATTTGCCCGAGAATAGTTGGTGCGTTTATTTGGATATGTTTTGAACGCTTCGACTGCTCTACTGGTTCCATGAACAAAGATTGCTCAAAGGTATTATGTCCAATGTCCTATTATCCTCTTATTCAGCCATCTGAAGACACTATTCTCCCAAACTGCATTTGAAAAGAGATTTGGTTCTCACGGCTTGTGCACATCAACAAAACAAAGCCACGCCTAGAAAGTTTCGTATGTTTTGTGACATTCTGACAATTTTCATGGAATTCAAGGGTTAAATGCTGATATATAGGAAGTACACGCCACAACAGACATTTATTGGACAAGCATATTCATATCAGTCACTACAAAACTGGGAGGTGAAGTGAATATACAACCCACGGCAGCTACCTTACTCTTGAACAAATGACAAGCCCTTCTGTCAAGAACCGTGTGAACTTCCACATGTTAACTATAGGAGCTTGCACTATGTACACAAGCAGTGCAAACAAACCCAGCTCTCTGCAAAAGCGGTCTTATTTACTCCTCTGTTAGTCATGAGAAAGAGGAAAGCAACTTTCCGCTGGACTTGCATGGTTTTCAATGGTCAAATGGAAGAGATGATTTCTTGCTGTTAACTCTCCTCTTTCTCCATAGAAGCTTTCTCCACAGACTCCCACCTCCCCGTTTTTTCACTGGCGTGATGGCCATTGAAGGCTCCATCAACCCACCCAGGAGGATAGAACAATCGCTGTTCTCTCCCTTCATTTCGGAGGATTTTAGGTTCGTAGCATTGGCATTATCCTCTGCAAGCATTTTGTCCAACAAAGAAGAGCGACGGGCCATACTCTTGTTCTTGGGTGACTCTCGCATCATTGCCCTAGTGCTATCGGTAGCAATACTGGAGTTTGCATCTGTTGGAGTAAGGACAATCTTATCAAAAAGAGCTGCGTCTTTCGGTGGAGCCAAAGCTTTCAACTGCTTCCCCAAGTTCAAAATGGTTTCTTGGCACTCTGCTAATCTTTCAGAAGCAGCTGTGATCTCCCAGTTCTGCAACAAATACTCTTGCATCATTGACAAAGGATCTGCATTTCTTGTCCCTAAGCAAATGTGTCTTGCCTCAATTACTCTGAACTAACAGCTTTTTAAAGAATCTAAGATCATTTAATGCTGCTTCAGAATAAAGGGCCTTTGACTCTTTCACTATCCATGTTGATATCCAGATCACAAATTCAACTCCGTCTGTTTAACGTTCCACACTTTTCTTACTTAGGAAAAAAGTTCCAGACCATGAGAAAAGACATTGAAAACTAAAGTCTATCCTCAACAACTTTTTGCAATAAAGAGAGAATCGTTATGAACCTTCTTGATGCCATTTTTATTCCAAGTCACTTCGTCTAATGTAAACTGAAATCATTCAAAGAACGCGTGATTAGAAGGAAAAAAGAAGAAAGAATGTGTGTCCCTGAAAACATGCCTGGGATGAATAGGTAATGATGGTGTAATTCTTATGAGACAGGATGGAGAGAAACTATTGAGCCATCGATAAATTTCTCTCAAGCGACTGCTTCACATACAGAACAAAGAATTTGGCGACGGTATCTAATGTCAGGATTTGAGAAAGCAAACATTGATGGTGACTTACAGTTGGTAGTTGCTTTCCTTCCTGAACGACGTTGTTTTTGGGACTCTCAACCTTCTTCGTACTGGAAATGACATGGACATATCCGTGAGATTCAGAAATGCAAGTGATTAAGGAACTCCGACTAATTACAGACATATAGTCAAGCAAGGATATGATCACCGAGGCAAGAAATCACGATCACCTTTGAAGCTGCAATTGCAAGTCAAGACATGTGGCCTCCAGTTCGTCACAGCAGCTGCTTTTATTCTCCAGTTCCACTTCTAGTGAAGAGAACTGTTGACGAGCCTCGTTTAGTTCAACTTTGGCCACGGCAAGCCGTCTATCAAGATCTTCATAACTCAACTTGCGATTTACAATCTGGTCCTCAACCAAACCCTTCGATTCTTTTAAGCTGTTCAATTCCATATGCAAGCTCTCAATAGTTTCTTTGGATGCTTCAAGTTGATTTATCAAAGATTCATTTTCACCAACAGCAGACTGGAGCTGACCTTCCACACTTTCCTTTGCTGATACTAATTTTTCCAGGTTTTCCTCCAATGTTGTTTTTTCTTCTTTCTGATCAGATTGGAATTCTCCCAGCTGAGCCATATTGTCATTGCCACTTACAGAATTACTAGGGATACAAAGTTGTTTGATGGGATTATGCAATTTATCTGCATCAGATAGCTGATGCATAATTCCTGCTCCAACTTCATCTTCACTTCGTGATTCATCCCAATCTATATTTTGCATAATCTCATCCCTCATGCTTGAAACATCTTGAAGGGAAAAACAATGGTTCAGAACCCATTCCAAAGCTGAAGCTAATTCTTTAAAAAAATTACAGAGATCAGCTTTTTCATTCAAAAGATCATAACAAGTACGGAGAAAGTGCTTTAAGACATCACCAAGTTCAGAAGTTTTCCATTGAAAAACACGAACCATGTAGCCCGTGGGTGTTTCTGAACTCTTATTGGAAGAAATATTCCTCTCTTTCTTCAAAGAAATATCTGGATCTTCGTAGTTTTGAGAAGGAAGACTAATACTCTCCATAAGCTCAATTATTTTAGACATTGATTTGCTCAAATCTGGCTTGACCTTCTGATTGCTCTTTCCCATTGACGAGAAATCAGGGTGACCAATTTTATGAGATAACCCCAGCCTCGAAGTACTATTAGAAGGCTTAGATAAGTTAATCTCATTGCTACTTGCCCTTTCCTTTGTATCTCCAAACTTTCCGGGGTTTTGACGGTGTACATGTGCCAAAGCAATTCTAACATCCTCAAGTATTTCATCTAGGTGTCTTTCAGCGGACTGATGTTGCTCCAGAATCACTTTCAATATCTGTTGAAGCCATTCAGGAACGCTAACGAGGATTGTACCATTGGAATGGGCTTCCTGGTCTACCGGGCAGAAGCCAGATTTACCATTTGTCTCCAGGGGGTGAGCAAGTGCACTAGCTTCCTGAGAAAGCATGTCATAATTCTTTGATGTATCATCTGTGGAGACAATTGCTAACTTCTCCATTTCAACAAAGTCGTCCATCAAGCTGATGTCGGAAGCTCCAATTGCTCTAGAGGATACCAACCGCCTCTGTTTCTCACTACGGAAATTCTCCAATTCTGAAATTAGAGCAGTTGCCCATGATTCAGCACAACTTACCTTATCATCACTGCCAATATCAGATACTGATGCCAGAGATGGTTCGTGTGACAAATGAATGGTCCTTGTCAACTCCATGCCTTTCTGACCTTTTAGTGATCCTTCAACCTGTGAATCAATCTGTGATAATTTGGAACCTCTTTGAGCATTCAGGACCCTAGAGATATGGAGTTCACTTTCTTTCTTACTTAGAGCTTCTCTAAGAGTTTTGTTCTCTTCCTCCGTGACAATTAACTGCTCCGTGAGAATGCTGATTCTCTTACTAGGTGTCTCAGGACAGTTCTCAACTGCAAAGTCAGACATGGAACCTATTTGCCCGGTATTCGTTTTCCTCATCCGGGCTGAATCCCTTCCAAGCATGTCAACCTCGTTTTTCATTTTAGCTACCGCTGCCGGTCCTGGTAACCTTTTTCGAACTAATAGACGTAACCTCTGACATTCTGATTCTAACTTTGCGATTTTCTTTGCACTCTCTAGGTGTTGCTTGTGAGACACATCAGCTGTCCTACGGTTGAACTCTCTCTCCTCATTCCGAATCTCAAGCTCCTTCTCAAGAATACGGACCTCATATTTGAGAGAAGCATTATCTTTCTCACTGGATTCGAGTCTAGCCATTAGGCTACCAATATCTGCCTCAGCCCGCTTTCGCTGTTTATTTAAGTCTTCAACCAATTTTTCCTTGGATACTAGAGATTTACTGAGATGAGTATTCTCAATGCCCATCTTGGCAAGCCTTTTATTTGTTTCTTCTAATTTCCCTTCCAAAACTACTTGGGACTTTTCAAACTCCTTTGATGTCTTCATAACAGCATCGTGAATTCTTTTTTCCTGCTCTTCTCTGACAAAATGCAGTTGCCGCATACATTCTTTCAGAGCCGCATCAAGATGTGCGACTCTCTCTTCACCAGCTAGTCTCTCCTTCAATGATTCCTCTAGCCTCTTTTCTAGAGAAACCACTTCAGTTTCCGTTTGCTCCCATCCTATTTAGATGATGAATTTAACAATGAGTAGATTGTAGGTGGACAGGTTGAAAATGAACAGAAGGAATAGAAATATCCAAGCAGATGTTCTGTCATATAAAATAGTTGAGAAGGGGAAAGGCATTACCGGCAATAGCTTCTTGGGCCATCTTTTCATGTTTCTTTACAAGCTCGTCTTTGGTATGACATTCAGAAAGAACATAAGAAAGCTTATCAGTCAAATGTTTCAATTCTTTCTCCAATTCTGATTTATCAGTTGAAGCCGCCTGTACCTGTCGGATGAACATAAATTTTCGTGCATCAATCAAGGATGTATATTTTACACATGTCTAGCATATGCACCCGCAATCGTACCACAGGCAATAATATACATATGAGAGAGAGAGAGAGAGAGAGAGAGAGAGAGAGAGAGAGAGAGAGGAGGGGCAGTGGGAGCAGCTACCAAGTTCAAGATTTCTGAATAAAAAGAATATCTGAGTGCTTCAACAATTCACAGAGATCACACTACAATAAGTTACAAGCCTATCTCCATGTGAAATTCACTTTTAGATGCATGCTATACAGCTATGAGTGATTATACTTGTCCATTTTATTGTTGAGTTTATCTGGAAAGTGATTTCCAGTATGGTATACACCTATATGAAAGAGATGCTGTATGTTCTCCTAAGTTTATAACATATTTCCATTGAATGAAGACCTTGCACAACATATTAACAGATCATGCATGCAATTTCCGCAAGATGCGGCTCCAGAAGGAGTACACGATTTTCTGGTCTATCCTGTACAAACTTCATTGTCATCCATAAACCAGTCGCTGACCCTTTCCCCTTTCATTTAGAAGCCGGACTTAAAAGTTTAGAGTAAAGCAGCAGGTAAGGAAGTCTATGTTTAGTGAGACTACCAAGCTATATAGTCTTACACGAGACACAGGTCATTCAATTGATTAAAGGATGCACACTAGAAAGCCATTAAACTTGTAAATAACCTTAATGGCGATATTGTCAAGCATTGCCACCTCTTATCTCATTAAAAAAATAAGAATCTGGCAACTCAGATGCATGAGATACAGAATTTTTTTTTTTTTTTTTATAACCGAACAGAATTTTGTATGCAAATAAACCAAAAAAATGACAATGTACCAAGACTTCGATTTTGTGTAGTTTGGCCAACTATTTTTTATTGTAAGGTTCTCGCATCATGAGGGGCAAGATACGAAAGATGGTCTCAACAGTTGCCTTCACTCCTCTTAAGTACCCATTAGGCATGAATACCCCATCCCTGTCTCCTTGGGGTTGCACCAAGCAAGCTTCCCTTTGAAAAAAGGGCCTATTGCTCTTAAGTGACTAGCCACAGGGGGGAGCATATAACAGCATCAGGAAATTGACAGAAAACAACCAAATTGGCTAGACACCATCGAGAAAACTTCATGAAGAAAGTTTTATCAGCAATACACTTAATGGATAGTAGTTTGCACACGAACTATTTCCAATAGGACCACAATTACCTGCTGCTCGTTGTTTCCCTGTAGGGGGAGGTCAACTCTATCATTTGCAATGGTCTTCTCTGCAGATTTCTTTTTCCAAAGCCATGCTTTATGGTCCATCACTCCACAAAAATGTTCTCTCTGAAAGCACATCAAACAAGACAAGGTATGTATGAAGGCCAGTGCAAAAAGGAGAACAATTTTTGCGTGAAGTCAGAAGCTACAATCAGTCAATTCTAATTCAGGAAATAGCATGCGTCGTGAACAATGCATTCCCTACAAAAAAGTCAAAGAAATGCATAGATGAATTGCTAAATACTAAAATCACTTCAGATAAATTTTAGAACAATTGGATAAAAAAGGCTTTTTTTGCATCTGTGCATTATAGATTCTTATGCATCACTTCATCCTTGATTGAACATTACGGGGCATTTTATAATGTAAAGTACCCTTTTCATCAATTAATGTTCATTTCCGCGTCTTTCTGCACATAGGAATTAATTCTACGGTATCGCATTGGGACACCATTATTTCCCACACTCAAGCATGTGATGTAAAATTGGTCATAACAGCATCAGAATGAAACTCTGTACTACATCAAAGGCAAAAAAAACTACTTAAAATGGAAATAGAATGCCGACTGATTATAGCAGAACCTCGTTCCCCATCAGAGTATTCATGTCGGGTACCTAGCCAGAGCATCTCGAGTTTTCATAATCGCGGAACTTCTTAACTAAACAGCAAAGAATTCCAGCCTATAAGCTTACCTTGCTCATAAGGAAGATATAACACGAATTAGAGAATCTTCTTTTGCTGGAAAGCTTGGTGTATATCAAAACATATGTATATCGGACCGGGATAAACCCATTTCAGCAATAAAAGTTTCTAAATTAGGCAAATAGCCAAAACATAACACTAGTCTCTGTCTGGACAAATTGTATATATCAAACATTGACGCGGATTTGAGCCTAGGACAAGTTCCATCAGGATTCCAACTTCGAAGATAGTCTGAGCACCGTGACTAACAAGGTCAAGTACAGACAGCACCCGAACAGTACGATAACGGTGCTCGCATGCAAAAAAAAAAAACCACAGACATTGATCATCGTCCCCATTGAACCGCGTCGCGAAGTGCGACCTCCGAGCAGCCAATGCGAGCCGCACAATCCACTCGCAACATTCCGAACACTACAGAACCACTCGCCGAACCCACGAAACCGGGGCCGAGCGAAGTCAATGCGAGCATTCAGCGTGGGGGGAGGAGGCGCTCGGGGAACTTACGCGGATCGATCAGCAGGCGGCGGCGACAGCACGAGGTCCGGGAAGCATCGAGCTCGGGGGAAAGCGAGCGAGGGAGGAGGAGGAGAAGGAAAAGAAAGGGCGGGGTCGTCGTCCAGTAGGAGATGGCGATCCAAATTAGTAATGAACGGCCATGACGAGGGATGGCGAGATCTCACCGACAACCGCGGTGGTGGTTGTTGCAGACAGTGGACCTCCACGTCGCCGGGTAGCTGTCGAGTAAGAAACTCCAACCAAAGCGAAAACCAGAAACTCAGACAGAGATAGGAGGAGGTGACGTGGAGGTGACTGAACTTGGCAACGAGAGAGAAGGAGAAGAAGAAGAAGGAGAGGAAGAGATGAAAGTGATGGGATTGGATCGCAGGAAGACGCGAGGTACGGCCTTTTTGACAATTCGGCGACATCGCGGGGACCATCCATCGACCGCGACCACGCCGCCTGGTTAAAAGCTTTGCTTTTAGGCTCCAACGGTCCAGTCGAATGAATCCCCCACACCCTCGTACGTACGCGTAAATTGCTGTCCCAGTTCGGACCGGACCAGTCGACGTGGGGGGTGGGTCCGCGTGTTAATTTCGCACGAGCATTGTCCGTGGGCACGTGTCCGCCGTAAGAGATTCTTGATTACGGACTGCAACGAAGGGGCGATTGGTATTCGTCGTCCCTCCTTCCCAATTTAAGAGCCCGTATGAATTTTGAGAGAAAACGAGCCGAGCACGACACGATGTGAACTTACTCGGAGAGGATCCGGAACTCCGCATGGATTAGCTTTGAGATCCATATTGGGTTGACCCGTTTGGTGGTCGTGTTGAATTTTTTTTTTGCCAGTCTTACTCCTACTTTATCTCTCATCTCACTTTCAGACTTTTACCCTGTCTCGTATAAAACGTAAGAGTCGAAACCCACACCGAAAACTACGCGTCCTCATCTCCATCCCTAGCCTTAGTCCCTCTGAAAAGATGAGGAATCGAACTCCTCAGTTCCTTCTTCTTAAGTGAGAAGAGTGTCTACCGGGGCAATTCCCAGCGGTTAAATTTTTTTTCTTATTTTGACGAAATGTTTGGCAACGTATGATGTGGCTGCAGGGCCGACAGATGGCGCGTGGGCTCAACGCGCGCGCCCGCGCGGGGTGTGGGTCGTTGCGGATGCAAGTGGAGCGGGTCAATGGAAACTTGCTTTCGACCAAAACAAATAAAAAATGGAAACTTGTTAAAAAGTTCGGTCCTGGGTTTGGTTGACTCTCTCTGTCAATCGCTGTCGTTCGCTTTTGCTTTGATCCAACGGACCGGAAGAGCGCGGGTGCTTGTCGACGGGACCGCGACTCCTTGCGTGACCCTCCAGATGCGACGACGTTTCAGAGCAGAATATAACCCTTTTTTTTTTGTTCAGAATGTCTAGGCTTACCTATCGACAAAATTCAATTGCTATTTTTGACAAGAAATTAGCAGCCGCGCAAAAAAAAAAAAGACGTATAATTATCGACCGATGAATAAACATGGAGGTTAGGCAGTTAGTTACCTTTAGGATCCGCCCTCTTACAAATGTATGTGAAAATCTTATCTATATTTATCTTAAAAAGCTACACGAACTCTCTCTTTATTTGCCTATTTAATTGTTTTACAGGCTATTCGTTCAGCAGTATTAAAAAAATAAAATAGAAGGTCTCGAGGTTGTTTCGGTCACACTCGTGATATAAAAGAACTTGAGAAATTGATGAATCGTAAATCGAATTGACCTGGTGCAGACTAGTCAAAGCGTTTCTGCTGGAAGATTAGAATGTTTAATTTAATTGAACTATGCTAATTCGTCTCACAAGACTCCAGGTAGACACTGAATAGAACCGATAATTGTCGCGATATAATATTTCCTAATAGCTAGATACGATGATGTGCTTGCGAACCAATGATTGCCTCGTGCTTTTGATTATACGATGCTCGTAGTAATTGCATTTAGGTGGCATTTTGTGAAGAATCAAGCTTCAATCGGCGGGAAACAAATTAGCAACAATCAAATCTTCGCCGAACAATACTGATTTACGCTATAACGAAAAGAGAATTCTGATGACCCGTATATACACGTAGATTCATTTAGATGGACAGAGGGTGAAGAAAAAATATGGATCTGTATAATGACGTGTAGATTTGTCATTAACTAAATACTCTTTTTTTTTTATGAGTGATATGTCACATTGATTAAAGGGAGCACTATGAACTATAGTTAGTATCGGATCCATTGCAATTTAAGGGTAATCAACAGGAGGACTAGATTGACCTATCTAATTGGAGTCTATTATTTAAGATAAGATAAGATACATATCCTACGAATCCCAATTTCAATTGCTAGGGTTGTGAATGCTCTCAACCGAGAAGACCCCTTTTGTTCCTCATATATTAAAATTCATCTAAAAAATTAGTATATCAAATAACTTGCTAACATATAAGTGAATATTTGAACAAGTAAATTATATAGACGATTTATCACGTAACTGAATATATTAACACATTGGGCACTTAAAGATCATGTTAACGAGTGCTCATTCATTGAGATTACTTAGATATGGAACAACGCAATTTTCAAAGTATTAATCGTGCATAACATGAGAACTACCAACGCATTCAAAGCCGCAAATTTTCCTCAATTGATTGCAAGGCACTCGTTAATAAAAGCACTTAAAAAAGGGTATGATCAAATAGCGTCAATAGACACTCTTGAGCATGGCCCGATTTATAATAATAATAATAACAACAACAACAACAACGGCTCCAATTCCACCTCTGTTTTTTTTTTTTGTGATATTATAACTAAACGAGGTAATGCTCGTGACTTATGATTCTTCTTGTATTCCATTCGCTCATTCTATCAATGAGTCCAGCTCAAAAGTTTCCAATCGTGACACCAACTTTCGTTATAATTAAAAAAGCAACCCCAAAGAAAATTATTTGCAGTACGGTCCACGCTCAGACATTGCGGTTGCTTCTAACTCTTGACCAACTTGTCCCTAAGAGAATCGATAATTCGGCAGATGGACTGTCAATGTCCTTTCTTTACAACATAGCGATGCGAGGAAACAATAGGGCAACCCGTATTAATACATCACGTGCCGTCGTCCGATAGCGCCTCCACAATTCGTACCCGCAGATCAAAAGGACCCAAAATACTCGAAGAGACAAATTCGAGTATAAACTATTATCGATTCATCCAATAAAATTTTTAAAAAAAGGCGGCATGATCAAAGTACGGGTGCCGGATTCTTTTTTTCTTCCAATTTTGGACATTTTGTGGCAAAATATTGCTGCTCATTGTCTCGTGCATGTTCCATTTGTTTTATAAGCCTGGGATGGCTGTCAACCACCGAAGAGAGGACCACCATTCAACTAAAGATCTCCCATAAACTAGACCCATCATCCCCTTTTTCTCTGTTGTGTTTAATGGGTTGTCTACGATATGTCGATTTAAATAGATAGGTCGGTCCAATTTATTGTGCTAATTCGCTACGTGATGGGACGAAGAATGCTAAGGCGTTGATGGCATTGATGGCATTGGCCTACTGAAGTGGCGCACTCGTGAAGCAATATCCCCCCCCCACTCAACCACCGCGCCCCCCCTCAAATCATATGATTGCTTAGGGGTCCTTGTTCGCTTAATTCAGCGCTGCTTTTTTTGGGCCCAGTGACAGCCACGCCATAACCACTCGTGGACGTTTAATTCATTAATGGAATGAGACGTGACCGATTAATCGGGAGTATGGCTTGAAAAAGGGTTAATTTTTACTTCTCGTCGATTTAGATGCGTAACCATGTTGCTTATTGATAAGGTCTTTTGATAGATGGTTAATACCATTAAAAATTTCAAACCGGTATAAATTTATCCTGATCTAATTCTCATATCACAAAAGAACTCACACTGATAACCTCCGCGACGTATTCACTCCAAACTAATTGTCGTCTCACCCCCTATTCCAAATCCGCCATCCGTCGTTTCGTTAATATGCGTATGTTTCAATATACATGAATATTCTATGTTGAATCTGTCATTCTCCACATCTAATATGTCTTGCGGGTCATCTATCATGCGTTTTAACGCATATTCATTTCGACGGAATATTAAATGAAACGTTGATGGAGGGAAAATTTGGTTCAAGTCACCAATTTGAGAATATTTCGTAAGACGACAAATTAATCTGGGATAAATATGTTTTGAAATATCAGGTGAATTTTTTTTTTATGAGATGAAAATTAGTTCCGAAGCGAATATATTAAGGATGCTAATTTGAGGTTTTTGACGATATCATACCAATCTTTTCGATAAATGAATCTAGATGTACGGAATTCGAAACATTATTAGAATGGAGTTGGTGGCTCCCGAACCAAAGGAATCACAAAGTCTTGTCTCGTTTAAGACGGGTCGAGAAAGCTGCAGACTTTGTTAACGTGAGCAAAGCAGTTGGGAGGAGTAATTGCTAATCGAGTGCGTTTTGACTTTTGCGGGGCGTGATTGCAATGGCCGTGCGGGGGTCATTTGTCCCACGCAACTCATTTGCTTGGACCACAATTTGGTGATGTAGCGCGGGTCGTTTTCCTAGTTCGGATTTCTTATTGCATGTAGGCGGGTTCGAAGCTAACAAGCCAACGGGATCCTAATGATTGCTTAAGAATGATGCCTTTTTGTTTCGTTTTTGTTTTTGTTTTTGCTTGTGGAGTTGGGAAGTGTTCGGGTCAGTCTACGCAGACCTCTCGATTGGTGCGCTTGCTCGAAAGATCTGAAGAGTCCACTCCCCCGCATTAACCTGATGCATCCGAGTTCTTACTCATAGATAGCCTTGAATAAGATCTGAATCCAATACCTTGGGGGAGATGAGGAAACTCTCTTGCTCTCTTACTATGTAAGTCGACGCCTAGAACTTATAAAAATGGGTCATGTTAATGAGCGGCTGACGGGTTGTGTATGTTTTCATTGTGAGAAAGGGGTCCTTTGAGCATATTTAGTTCGAAATAATACAATTTTCAAAGTATCGACTATGCATAGCACAAGAATAATCGATGCGTTGGAAACTGCAGAGTTTTCTTAATTGGTTGCTTAACAAGTCTTCTTAGGGTGCTTCTTAGTAATATCTTTTGAAAAAAAAATGTTCGTTTACCAAAACAATGAGTAGGTATATTGCTAAAAAGTCAATATATTAGAAAACACAATCTTCTTTATAAGTTTTTAACAAGTGCTTCAAGGGTATGGCATTCTTAATAAAACCCATATGAATTTGTGTAGTTCTTTAATAAAATCTAGTGAAACACAATGAAGTAGTAGGAAAATATTAGAATATTTTGTGCATTATTTCCCGCACCGGCCTTCCAATGTCTAAACAACAAGAGAGTCTTTTGACGAAATTCAAGCTTACGCTACTTTTAGTGAACGGAAAATCTTTGCTCGTGTCACTCGATGACCAGTCCAAACCTCCAAGAGGAATAAATAGAAGCACCCGATTGCACATTCGAGACGATTTCAAGACGCGGTAGGCTAAGAACGAGAGGGGGCTTGGTTGCAAAAATGGACAGAGCGAGGGCCACATTGCAATTGACCATAAAAAAAAAGAAAGAAAAAAATGAGTAAGAAATAATACGTAATATTGGGCCTCGCTCCTCGGCCCATCTCTAGCTTTTCCGGGAAGAACAAATTGGGCTCCTAACGAGAAAGCCCACGGCCCATTCGGCATTCGTCTCCATCTTCTTCGCTGGGCGATCCTCGCACTGGTTCGAATCGCCGCGACTCGCCGGTATCGTGCGCCGTGTCCCGGCGTCACATCTCCGCCTCGCTCGATCACCACCGGCGGCATCGATCGCCTTCCCTCCGCAGCGATGGTGCAGAAGCAGCACCACAAGTCCAACGCCAAGAAACAGCCTCACGTAAGCCACGTCCTTCGCTTCTCATGGTTGAGAAAAATTCGGAAGTTTCGATTGCCGTGATGATCCGTTTGTTGCGCCGATGCCTCTGGATTGAGCTTTGTCGGACGTGTTTTTTTGGGGCTGAGTTCTTGGTTGGAGTGTTCGTGGGTGCGGTTGTTTTCAGAATCTGGGTAGACGTGAATGTAGTGTGCGGTTGATGGGCAGGTCAAAAAGCAGGGGAAGCAAGCTGATACCACGCAGTTCCGAGCTCAGCTGGATGCTCTGGGCCTGAAGATTGTCCAGGTGACCGCAGATGGTAATTGCTTTTTCAGGTCCGTGTTCCTTGTTGGAAAAGATCACCGACTTGTGTTCTTGATTTTTGAATGTCCCAGGGATTGGTTTGGTCTGTAAGATAACAGTTTTTCTGTCTGTTGTAGAAGGTTAATGGTATGCTCATCGCATTACCACTCTGGTCATCAGAACACAACACAAATTGCATTTTATGGTGCACCGGTTCTGGAATACTATAATCAATGTACTTGGAAAAACTATTGCATTTTCGTAGGATGCATCGTTCTGCCTGATACACTGCATCTGGAAACATATCTTGAAGAAGAGCTCTATTTGTCATGCATTGTAGATATTCTACCTTAGTCTTGAGGATAGTAGATTGTCTCTTCCGAGATCCAATTTAGTTACTTTGTAAAATTATATTACTATTGTACAACGTCCTAGACAAACAAACCATGTTCCTCATTCCCGTTTTTCATTCCATGTATTTGAATGATCCCTCCTTCAGGTAATCATACCGCCTTGCATGGAACTTTTGTTTATAGAAAGGCCTTTGCTATGGTTGGAATTTTCATAGTTTTCCATCCTTGGTAATCAGGGCCCTTGCAGATCAGTTGGAAGGCAATGAAGATGAACATGGAAAGTACCGTAGTATGGTTGTTCAGTACATATTGGTATGTGGAGTACTGATTTCTCTTTTTCAAGCTGTAGGAATTATGTTATTAAGGGTTTTTTTTTACATGTTGATGTTGTCCTCATTTGTATTACTGCTCAGCGATCCGAATCTGAACTTTTATTTGGTGCATTTTGTTCTTGAACTTATTTTGTGAGTATTGATGGATTTCACACTTATTTGAACACTAAAATAGCATGCTTTTGGAAGATAAAACCAAATTAAAATGGATATAATATATGGAAGCCTACATTTCTGCTGCCAATGGTTATTCCTGATAATATTCAGCTCACAGTCACAGTTGCATAGAGCTATACTAACACAAGGATCACCTGAGCAATTTGACATTCTTAATTTACTAGAGAGGAAAACATGTCGAGTGTTAACTGTGATTTGGATGGTATATCTTGGCCTAAACTGACAAGTATAGGAGGAAGCTGGACTATATAGTTACCTGCATTGTTCTGGCCTCCAGGAACGTGTGATTGCTACTTTAGGGTGGCAATTTTATGCGAACCGACATATTTTTTTGGAGGAGATATTGACAAAATTGAAAATGAGAGAATTGACACTAATGTGAAATGAATCAACTTTTTAGCATGTATGATGAAACTGTAATGTTTTGCAATGGCACAAATTGATGGTTTTGCTTATTTCAAGTTTCAACGGAATCCTTTATTTTCATTGATTTTTTCTTATAGTGATGTATTTAAGGAAATAAAATCCTTGTTTGAAGAATGGACCTGATAGATGCATCTAAATTGGGAATTGTTAATGACAGAAAAATCGTGAAATGTTTGAACCATTTATCGAGGATGATGTGCCATTTGAGGAGTATTGCAAAAACATGGACAATGATGGCACTTGGGCTGGTCATATGGAATTGCAAGCAGCTTCTCTTGTTACACGGAGTAACATTTGCATTCATCGGGTAGGACTGACAATGATGTCATCAATTATCATCTACATTAAGTTTTTTTGGTTACGGTCTTTTCATTCCTTCAGAGGAGACATCCAGACTAAATAAGGACATCATTAGACTTGTCAATAGTTAACCTTGCTACTGGATTTGAAGTTTCCCTATCTAAGCATGCATCCTAGAATTTGATGACCATTGAAGAACCCATAATTAACAGTTTCCGGACTCATTCTTCGCTTCTTCATATAACGGCTTTCTTCCCCAATAGGGCCCTCCTTTATCTGAGAAGTTATTTGCCATCATTGTTAAGATCAAAAGACCGCTTAGGATGTTGTTTTTGTAATGGTTATAGCTTGTTCTTTTGTGTCTGGTTATAATTTGTTACTCTTTAGGCTGAAAAGTTGACTCGTCTGAAGCGCAATGATATCCAGCATGTCTCATGATGTCTATTGTGGCAAAACATGTGAAAGGACCATTGGTGATGATGTGCAAAAGATTTTTTTCAGAGATTGATGGCACCTTTTATCACAAGGAGTTCCAGTGGGTGCATATAATCCTAATTCAAAGAGGACTTGATATATTGAACTTGTTACAACATTGCTGGCTCGTCGAGTGTTCTATCTGTCCTTGATGAATCTGGACTTTAGCACTAATTAGTTTTGATACATGCCGTGCATGCAAGTATTTGTTTGTTGACTCCAGATGGAACAATTTAGCTCACTCCTTACTTGATGCAGAACATGTCGCCTCGGTGGTACATACGCAATTTTGATCAGCCTGGTGCTCGTATGATCCATTTGTGAGTATTCTGAATCTAGAGCCTGATGTTGTTTTTAGCTAAGCAAGTGCTCAAATACTGGGATGAGATCTGGCTCTGTTTGTATACACTTAAATAAATAACCTTTTCTTACATTTTACTTTCCCTCAAAAGATTTGAAAATAAAAAATGTTTTTAATTTTTAAGAGATTATGAAAGGATTACATGTTTCTCCAGGTCAATTTTGTTTATTTTAAAAGGTTTTTAGGTGTTTCGAGTTTCTTAGCAGTCAAATTGCGAGAGCCGCAAGATTTGAAAAAGAAGAAGCTATAAGTACAAGTCGTCCAAACAAACCGGCTCATTACATGAAAGTAGGTCCTGCAGCTTGTTCAGGGAGACTGCTGATTTGTGAAATTATTTTGGCATGCAAGGACAACACCTCGTAAGTTGCAGATATGAATGTAGTTGCGGTGTTGTTAGATTTAACCATGGAAGTTCTTTTGCCAGTCTGAGAGATGTTTTGGTGTGGTCACAGGGGGATAAATTACTGGCTAAGCATACCTGATAGGAGACCAAAATGTCACTTTAGCTTTTTGTTTCTTCAATAGTTTTTTTTATTGAAATTCCCATATATAGATGCCCTTCAATGAATGGCATGCCAGGATATTCCAAATTAAGATCGATTGTCTCGAGGTAGCCATCGTGACTTTGGATTGTCACGAGGGTCGTGAAATCTAGTGGATATATGATATTCCACAATTTACTATCCTCGATAAGTGTCATCATGCGAAGCAAGTAAGCATAAAAAATGTGCGTTGTGCCCTTATTGTTCCGTGGATAGGGAAAATCTTTTAGTCCTTTTGTACCGATTGGCGTTTTTAAGTGCATTTTTCTAACTTTTATATTTTACTTTGTTTGATTAGATCTTATCATGATGAGGAACATTACAACAGTGTGAGGTTCAAGGAAGACACCGGAGATGGTCCAGCTAGGCCAATTACAATCAAGGTTGCTACTGGAATTTAATTTTAGTTTACTAAGTTAGTAGGAAGTTCGACAAATTTGTGAATTCAAGTATATGATTTGATAATTTCTTTTGCTGAAAGGCTGATTGTAATCTCTCGTCGTCATCTCGCCAAGCAAAGGCTGGGTCAAACAAGTCTAAATCAGGAGCTGGTAAGGATATTACTGATGCAGGATCCATCAAGCTAGTCATGGCAGGAAGTGGTTGTGAGAACATCGAGAAAGTTGAGCAGGTTATGTCCTCTCTTCTTCTGCTTGCATGTTTGCATTAAATGCTTACCTCTCATTTGCTGGATGATCTAGAATTTTTTTTTTGGTCGAATCTAGAATTAGAATGCAATGTTTTGGACCTTTTTCTGATTTCTGTGTGACATGTGATACTTGTACAGACATTGCTGCAAATGTATGGGGATGTTAATGCCGCCATAGAGTACTTGATAGCAGAACAAGGCATTGAAGATTTTTCAGAGGAAACTGTCCGGACTCCCTGCAATGCAGATGCTTCTCATGGTAATGGCTGGTCAGTATTTATCTCTCTAGATTTTCTTTAATAATTTAACTTCGCAGTTTCAAAGATACCGTGTTGATCTTCACAAGAAGCTTGTTTGGAGTCATTTTGATGAACTGGTAGGATTAGCATACTTTGTCTTGTCATCCATGGATTTTTGGGGTAGTCAAACACGCCATACCCAAAACTATTTCATAATTCTTTTTGGTATTTAGGGGATGATGCCAATCGAAATTCTGAGGAACAGAGAGAGGAACCTGTGGAAGAGACCTATAAAGAGAACCCACCTAGCAACAGTGCTAAACGGACTCATGATGATGGCAGTGCCCAGCGAGAAGACAAGGTTTCCGCAGATGATGATTATGTTATGTCTTTTACCATTTTGGCTTAAGCTCAAACATGAGAACTGTTGGTGATGCGTCTCTTCATTTTTATTTTGCTTGTTAATTTTGAAATGCAGAAAATCCCAAGAAACAAGGCTTGTCCATGTGGTTCAAAAAAGAAATACAAGTCCTGTTGCGGGTCAGGGACAGGGAAAGTCTCTGCAATGTCCAAGTATTTCTTGTTTACTCTGTGCTTTATATGTAGTTATAGTTTAAGCTTGTCTTTTGCTTAAGTATTTTTCCTGTTTCCCTGTGATTGGAGTTGATACTTATCTTGAAAGTTTATGGCTTATGTATCCAACATGGTATTAATTACCTTCCTTAAATTCTAGTCTGGAATATTTTCTCACTCCTACGCTTTGTCGTATAATGTGTACACTTCGGAAAAAAAGTTCATACATGAGTAATTTAAATTTATACTTACAAAAACAAAGACAGCAGTGAAGATTTCTCCTTTTTTATGTCTAAATTTTGTTTTGCAGTGATCAAGCTTTTGAATCCAGGAAAAGTAGAAAGGAAAAGAAGCGAGGCAAGAGAGGGTCTGACACATCTGCACTTTCTACTGGATCTGATGGAGGGCCACCTGATATGGGGGCTCTTTGTATCTGATCTTTTGCCAAAGTATGTGCACCATCATCTAATGAATTTCAGATATCAGTATGTGTGCAGTCTTTCAAATATTTGATTAGATTAGACACAATTTCTTTCTATTTATATTAGCATGTATTTGATGCATGCATCTCTTCTTTGATCTTTGGGATAAGTGCACTTTCTAGTTTTCCACCTGTTGCCAAATTTAGAAGGATCTATAGGTACAAAATTTTCAATGGTGTTACTTTTCTTGGATAGTCTGCCCCTCTGATTCACTGGCAATTGTAATTTGGAGATTCTTTGTGTACACATAAATGATGCGCATGCACAAAACACCTACCCAGGTAGATTTGTTGGCATTGGCGTAGGTGAGTTTGGTCAGCAACCAAAGGGGGAAGGGGATAAGGAAATTCAGTTATCGCTGTCCCAGGGCTAAACCTTGTTCATGAATATAAAAGAGATGTTTACATGAATTTGACAAGTGATGGTTTAATTTTTAAATTCCCTTCCAAAGTATTGGTTTTGCTGTAACTGCAGTTTAGGGTTCCTGTGAAGATGTTATTCTATTTCCTTTTATTTCTTTGACAAGAAATGCACTAAGCAGTTACGCACACACTTCTTGTAATTGATGAAAGACATGTAAGATTCAAAATGCACTTACGCTCCATCTACAGATATCCGAATGCAATCCATTTTGCAGTTGGAGATGACACAGATATTACATAGGCTAGCTCTTCCATTCAAATTGGTGCTGATTTCTAAGATTAAACAACTTTGACTGACAATTATCTTTGGTTATTTTGGCAAAAAAGCTTGTCTTATAGATCTTTTGTTGGTTGTCATTAGATGTTATGTCAACATAACATCATTTAGACGAATTATTGTCTCCAAAGCTCCCAAGTGATGGATATGTATAGATACCACGAGCATCTGCGAAGTTTTAGCAGTAGATTTTCCAGTTATCCCACAATTTAAATCCTGAATTTTTTCTCATTGTTTTTGTGGAATTGCATTGTGTCAGATGTGGCTTGTCCAGTCCTCAAGAATTACAAAAATCTTGCGGCTTCATCATTTCATCCACAAGGGAGTGGGGCGAGAGAGTAAAATTGTGAGCAGAAAACTGATGCTGAAAGAAGTCTATAATTCGAGCTTCTCCCCGGAGCAATTTATGAGGTTACTTAATATTTTTTCTTGGCTTGCCTCAAATGTGAATCTTTTCATTCTCTATTAGCAACAACATAAAGCGCATATTAGTCTAAGGTTATCCTCTGTCTTCAAAGGCAGGTACCTTATTAGTCTTGTATACTACTTTGTCCCAAAATGGGGAAATAAAATATCCTTTCTTCTTGATCTAACAGCTTAACAAGCATTGAACCTTACATGGTGATGCTACTCTAATAATGTAGGGAGTTAAGCGATCTGTGAAGCTATTGAAACACGATGTGTAGATTCATTTATTCCATGTAAGAAGCGAAAAACACTTGCTACTTTTGCAAGATAGCAAGGTGTGCATTGTGAGCCCCATTTTCATTCAGATGGTGATCTAACATATGGGAGAGCATAATTGCTAAATGATATGGGAGAATGTAGACGTCACGAGAACTTTAATGCGATAAAAGCTTCTTCAGCTTGGCCTATGCCGCGACGTTCCGTGGATGTCTAGGCCGGCAAGTGAACTTTTCCCATCTTGTGCCGCTGTTGAACGAGCTTGGTCAACCTGCTTCTTCATCGTCCTTGAGAAGGTGGTCTGTAAAAGCCGTAGACCAAACCTAGGTCCCTTTCCATGAGATAAGTACAATAGACTCTGTTTGTTTTTCTACCAAAGAAAAATACTTCGATAAAGTTCTGATTTACGATAATTGATTTAGTTGTTAGCCATGTATTTAAGGTCTATCTTGTAGTTATGTTCAACCATTTTGTATTATGAATGAGAAGAACTTAACAGTGGATACATGATGTGTCGTTTTCAAATCTTTGGTCCATTGATTTTGCAGATTGGCTCCGCCGGATTCATTCCAGTCAGAGAGTAATGAAGGGCCAGTATTAGATCAACGATAGTTTAATTGGAATATAAGATAGTGTAAGAGGATGATCATCGAAGAGTGCTAATCTAGTTTAGAATCACCACAAAAAGAGGTGTGTCGGTACAAGGGACAAGGTCATGATGTTATACCACGCGGTAGGGACGTGTGGTGCGGCGAGCAAATCAATTTCAAAATTTAAGCGTCAAGTAAGATGACCGGCATTTCACATGACCAATTTAATTGGATGGTCACATCACATCGGCAGTCGGCAATTTGACCACTGGATAAAATATAGTTATTCTCGAAACACTTGGCCCCCTTGGGCTTATGGGTTTCTGCTAATTTGCCACCCGGTGATTTCAATCTTTGCAAGAGTGCTCATCGAGAAATATCAATTGTCGGAATAGAAGGGAAACATATGAGCCATTATGAGATCATATTAATTATGATCATTGAAGTAAATTTACTAATGATTTAGGATCAGAAAATTTTTGCGAGAAACTCGGATACGTTTGTGATCTCTCTAAAAGTTCTTGAACGCCAGAACTCCTGAACTTACGAGAACTTTGAGGAATCCTCCTCCCTTTGACGAAATGCTACTCATCGTCACCTAAAGTTGCAAGGACTTTCCAGGTAGTACCACTGTTGATATGCACTTACTAATTACTAAATATACGTACCATCACGTACGAGTTCGATGAAGGAACTTACTATGCTATTGGATAATTACTAAGTGATAGGATCAAGTTATTAACTCTACAATCAAATTGCTAACCTTAAAAGAAAGTTACTAACTACAGGCGGAGCGATTAAAACGAGGACTCCGCGGGACTTACGACCATCGGAAAAATAATTGCGACATACAAATACTATCAGTTACAACTAGAGAGGAAAATTACTGCATCAATGGTGAATTGCAAAATGATGGCACCCTCAAGCTTAAGACTAATGAAGAGATGTTCGTGATGGAAAATTAATAACCATAGGCGCAGTACAACTTTCGAGGATTTTAGGTGATTTACAATTGTTCTGGATTACTGAGAAATTTCGTTGTTTGTTACAACTATTTGATGAAATTTACTATATTAATTTTAAGTTTACTAACGACTAAGAGTAACGTACAGGTATGCCAAAAATTATTTTTTGGCAATGAGCAAAGATTGACATACAGCTATAGCAGGATTATGTATAGAAACACATAAGTAGTGCCGCAAACCTTTTCTGCTCTATCTGTAACCACATACCGCATAAATTTTTTTTTTTAAATTACCAACAGTTTCTTAAGGGATAAATATACCATAAATTCTAAAATTTGCTGTAAAAGTGTAATCAAGTCCCAAAACTTTCAAAAAATGCAATTGAATCTTAAAATCTGTCCAATCGGTACAATCAAGTACTTACGTCAGCTCCATCAAATCTGAATAGCGAACAATGCTGTCATGTCATTTATTGATGTAATTTGACCACACATGCCTGGAGATACTTGAGCCAACCTGATGCCCCGTCCTAATGAATCGAAGTGTCTTGTGTGCCAGGTCACCCTCTATCCATTCACATATATTTTGATCTCCCATGAGAGATTGAATCGAACGCCATCTGTTACTCCGTCAACAAGACATGTCCCGGGGTATCAGGAAACATATGCCACCCCCTAATTTGTTTCACTGGCTTAATGATTGCCTCCTTAAGACCTCTGCATGCCAATACTACTCCACTCGCCTCTTCTTATAAAAATTTTCACGTGCTTCCAGTTCCTCAAATCTGCGCTGGGAGAAATTTGCGTAAGAATTCTCGGTACTCCATTTCACAGAGTGAAGTTGGATCCACTAATCGATTGTCTTCAAGCGCAACCTTCAGATCATCATCTAGTTGCTCGCATCTTAGCACATATCCCAACTTTTCCACGGTTCCACCCGATACTTTAAGTGTAAGGCTAAATCGTAAATAATCCTCGTTAAATTCAAGAAAATCAACTGCTCCCTCCAACACTCCCCACAGCACATTTGGTTTAAGGTACTGGAACCACATGTGATCAGAATCAAATGAACCGAGAGTTCCCGATAGCGCATTCCGTCTTTGGTCGTTAATATGTGGCACGATGTCGAAAAAAATTTCCTTTTCTCCATCTTCTACACCGAAAACAACACAGAGAGCCAATCCTAGGAACTTGTCATAAAAGTCCTGTGAAACCATGAAAGATATGGTATTGCCTTCAACAAGGACAAACGCCTCTGGCATCTCTCCTTTAGGGAGAACATTTCTGTGGTAACAAGAGATTCCGGAATAGCGATACTTCTGTTGTACAGGTAAATTGTTAGAAGCACCCAAGTTGGTAATTAGTTCAAATAGAAGAATTTGATTTGAGAATTTTTCTTGTAATTCAACCGTATCTAGAGTTCTATAATAGTTAAACATATCGATCCTTCCTTGCCTTATATGTAACACTCATGAAATCATTCACTTGCAAGTCGCCACCCCTATTACATGCAAGTGCAGAATCACTTTATGTTAGATTTGCTTGTTTGTCTAGAATTTTCAGCTTTTGCATTACACAAACACGGTGCGCCAGACATACACTCCAAATCAACACACGCACTTACGAATGCGCGGAGACCTCAACTGAGAAGTCGGCCATGGTAGCGTCATCTGCTTCGACCTCAGCTGGCAAGCAGTCCCAGCGAGAGCCACCTACTTCACTTGAACTGTCTTCCTCGGTGCTTGTTTGATTATTATCTTCATGCTCTAGCCACCGCTATTACATATAGGTGCAGAATCACCATATATTAGCTCGTTTTGTTTACTAGCATTAGCAACTTTTGCATTATACAAACCACACAGTGCAACCAACATAACTCTTTATCAATCACACACACACCACAAACACCCAGAGAAGAGAGAGAGAGAGAGAGAGAGAGAGACCTCAAGTGTGAGGTCAGCGAAATATGTTTTACTTCTTACTTCCTTTGCGCTCGTTTCACTATCGTCATGCCAAATCTCATAGAGCAAAGCAGGATCTAGCAACTGGTCGTCTTGAAGCAAAACCTCCGAATCGTCCTCTAGTGGATTGCATATTAGTCGGAATCCACACTTTTTCACAATTCCACCACTCGATGCTCTAATGCCCAACTGGAAAAAACATGAGTCATTCGGACCAACCTCGTATAATTTCCATAGATGCTCTGCATCGACATATTGAAGAAACCCATGATCTGAATACAATGAACTGAACGCGAAATGCTTTTGTCCCTTCCATTTGCCATTAACGCATGCAGTCAACCTAAATTTGGCCCTTCCTTTTCCTTCCTTTACTCGGAATACAACACATAAAACTAATCCTAGAAATTTATTACACAAGCCCCTTGAAGCCATGAAAGATATATAACCCTCTTTGTTAGGGAGCAACCACCGTGGCATCTCTCCTCCAGGTAGAACAAGACACTGTTCAAGTCTGGGACGAAAGTTCTGTCATAGATGTAGATCGTTAGATAGTTTTTCGAAATTGACACCTAGAAAAGAAGAGTTTCAATGAGTTAAGTGGGTAGTCCTAGAGTTTAGCTATTGTTAGCAATATCATTACAAAGATGTCTTGTTCTTAATTGGTGGAAACAGGACATATATTGTTGAAGATTTTGTAATTGAATGAACTTATATTGTTGAAAGTTTTCATTGGGTGTAATGCCACAATGAGCTAGAGATGTGTAAATAGATAGAATATCATTTTCGTTGCCTTGTAGCCACTTCCACTACATGTACATGCAGAATCACTTTCTCCATGTTTGCTTTTCTTAATTAACATATAGATGCAATATTTTCAGGCTTTCACAATATGCAGCACTCGTTGCAAACCAACATGTACATAACTCCATATTATGACTCCATATTAATGAGAGAGAGAGAGAGAGAGTAACCTCAAGCTTGAAGCAATCATTCATGGTGAACCCATTACGGACCAGTTCATGACATGAAGATAATTCAACATGATTAACATGACGCATGTCAGAGGGAATTTTACTGAGAGATTCGCAACCATTTGCCCATAGATCTCCCGATTCCCTTGGAATCACAAGGATCTCTTGTAGTTGTCGGCATTCCGAAACATCCAACTTGAGTAAATTATGTAGTTGCTCGCATGTAGGAAGGTTAGTAAAATTGTTTCTCGACAAATCTAAATCTTTCAAGTACGGAAAACAGGAACGATTTTCCAAGAACTCTACTTCTAATAGATTGCATCCACTAAGGCTTAAAATTAGTAACTTAGGAAATCCTGTCTTGCTATGGAGATCACTCGAATCCTCCTCCTTTGGAAACTTGATTAGTTTTGAACAGCCATCAAGCCGTAGGCTCTCAAGATTTGGCAACCTGTAAATGCTAGACGGAAGGATTGCCAGTTTCTTGCAATCAATTAAACTCATATTCTTCAAAGAGATAAGATTTTCTATGGATGCAGGAAATTCCTCGATTGAAGTCCCTTTTAAATAAAGTTCTTGCAAGCTTTCGATTTTATCTGGAATATCAGGAAATCTTTGCAACTTTGAGCAACCAGTAAGATTGAGAAATTGAAGATTCTTGGACTGCAGCACGTTGGGGAGATGATGAAGGTTAGAGCACCCTTTTAAATTCAACAACTGTAACTTGGCGTGATATGCAACTGATTCGTGAGCACGCTCCAAGTTTTTGCACCCATGGAGATCCAGTTCCTCCAAATTTGGAGTCCAATCTAGGTCCAGCATACAAATCACAGACGGGCATTCACTGCAGTTAAGGAACTTCAAATTTTTGAAGTCCTGCAAGAAAAATCCGGACGGAAAAAAAATGGAGAATTTAATAAAAAACACTTGATCATCATTCAAGCCACGTGTAATTAGAATTCAATTGATCATATGGTGTATATAGAGCACTCCCTCTCCCTTTTTAGATATGAGTTTAGTAAGCGATCCTTGGAAATTGCCCAAAAGAGAAGATCCAAATAGAAAAATACTTGGAATTCCACCACGGACTAGAGTTCTATCAACTGACATAGAAGAGAAATCATCCCATTGCTAAGGCTCCATTTGCTTCACGAAAAATGGATGATCTGAAAAACATTTTCCTAAAAATGATAACTTGTTTCGCTTACAAAAAAATGATTAAATAAAAAATATTTTTATTGTCCATGAAAATATTTAGATATAAGTTGTAGTTGACAATGAAGATATTTTTTTATCGATATATTATTTCATACGATACAAGCAATTATTTTTAAGAAAATATTTCCTAAATTATCTATTTTTCATGAAACAAATGGAGCCTAAGTGGCGTGGCCACTTTCAATACCTATACGCGCAACAACAATACTTGAGAGAGAGAGAGAGAGAGAGAGAGAGAGAGAGAGAGAGAGAGAGAGAGAGAGAGAGAGAGAGACTGTAACCTTGCGAGCACATGAACCACAGGCAATCCTTTGCCAAGTAATTCATCACATGAATTTATGCTAACATAGGTGGCACTTGATACATATGCAATCTTATGCAGAGATGTGCAATCTGCCGCAAAGGCAGTGGAAGCTCGGGAATCTCGTGTCATCAATTATTAGGTCATGGTGGTTGGTCGATCGACTTTTGAGAATCGCACACTTTGTACCATGTAGTAAGACCCTCGATGCATTACAAGTTGCTGAACTTCATATTAGTGAAATTGTGCGCCTACATGGGATTTCAAAGACAACCCCTTATGTCAAGTTTATTGGTCACTTTTGGCATACATTACGAAAAATGGGGACTTGCCTCAGTTTAGTTCTGCTAGCCATATTATTAAAGAGTTTTACTAGAAAAAAATGTTAAACAATGGGATTTATTATTGGTTCAAGCTGAGTTTGCATATAATAATTTAGTGAGTCAAGCTATTGGAAAATGCCTATTTGAAGTTGTGTACCGAAAGCATCTTTTAAGTCCTTTGGATCTTACACCATATCCACCACTAGGTATCAATTTAGCGGAGATGCTGAAGAAAGAGCTAAGACAATCAAGCAGTTACATGAGGAAGTGAGGAAGAGAATTTTGAAGCAAATTGACAAATAAGAGAAAATTTCAAATAAGAGCTGAAGTGTCATCATTTTCTCAAATAAGGGTCTGACGTGGATTTTATTTCAAATAAGGACATGAAGTGGCTATTTATGTTTCAAAGAAGGACATGACTTTCTGAATGGTTAAAGGCATTTTTGTTCATCATCTTTTTTTGAATTTTTTCCTTTTTTTGGTTCTTTCTTTCTTCTTCGCTAGTCATAGGCGACGCCGTCCCTTGCCGGCCGCCAACGAGGTGACCCTCACCCAAATCTGGCAAGGGCCGGCCTTGCCTATGGCCGGGGAGGGCGGCCTTGCCCAGGGCGAGGGTGGCCCTTGCCAGATTGGGTGAAGGTCCTCGCCTAGCCCGGCCACCGGCGAAGAAGAAAGAAAAAAACCAGAAAAAAGGAAAAAAGAAAAAAAACTAACAAATAAAAAAATAATTTAAAATTAAAATTGTCTTTGGACGAAAATGCCCTTGATCAGCTGGAATATTTAGCTGGCCGACGACCGGCAAGATCAGGCCCTTATTTGAAACTGTCATTGCCACTTTCTGCCTTTATTGGAGACTGTCATTGCCACTTGAGACTTTTATTTGGCACAAGTTTCACTTCATGCCCTTATTTGAGAAAATGTGAGCACTTCAGGCCCTTATTTGAAATTTTCTTTGACAAATATCCTTGCGAAGCAAACAAACATAGAAAAGCCAGCTATTTTTAAAGAAGGTGATCTTGTCTGGTTTCATTTGAGAAGAGCACTTTCCACCTAGTCATCGTGCCACGGTTGGTTCTTTTCTAGTTTTGGAACGCATTGACAATAATGACTACAATAGTGAGCTTTACGTATAGAATGGGGTTTCCGCTAATTTCAATGTTGCTGATCTATCACCATGAAGTTGGCCTCGAGTATGAGTCTTTTCCAATAGAGGGTGAATGATATGAGAAATATTTCGAATCCGTATTCAAAGACTTCGAGATCCTCTCTTGTGAATAGAATAATAGGGATAGAACATATTTTCTGGATCTGTCATTTTGTTCATAATTTTTACGATTGCTTTAGTCTCGATTAAAATTTGATAATGTTGTTGCATGTTTTTTTTTTTTTGGGTCGGAGTGGTTGCGTGTTTGAATTCCGTATGTTAGGTAGGTTTATCTTTTCTTTACTTGGAGGTTGCTCAAAGGTTTCCTAGGCTGCTAGTTACAAGTTCCCTCTCGGTCTATAATTGTAAACACAATTAATTTATAAAATGAAGTTTCCTTCTATCTTTTTCTCTGTCTTTCTTTCTGTCCCTTTGGTGGATTCACGAGTGATCCAGAGAGTGCTGCACATTTCAAGTGGCCTACAAAGGGTGGTGATTTGGTTAAGGTAGACCTAGATTATATAGTCCCTTCCTATCCTCCATAGTGGGGTTTTTCCACTTCATTAAGATTGAAAAACCCTGTTATTTATTTGTTCGTTCAACATATTCCGATGTCAGTGTGGCGGACGAACATGACAGCAAAATTGAAGTTACTGACCGTTTAAGTTCTTGTTAATTTATGTCACCAATAAGTTCTTGTTCCAACTTTCGGTATTAAAGTTACTGACCGTTTAAGTTCATCATTCTTATGATTTCAGTACTTGTAACATTTTGAAAGAGGACATCTAACTTTTTTAGTGAATATATTTTTTTCGAATCGACATTAAGATTCACATAGGAAAGTGTTTAATACTCCCCCTAAAACAGGAAGGTTCCGCTTATGCTGGTTCACGCGGTAGATCGACATCTTGTAGTTAGTGCTTTAATCAAATATAAACAATTTAATGGATGCAGATGTTTCTTAAGCACATTAGCGAGCATCCCCAGAGTTAGAAATTGTTGAAATCAAAGTTTTCAATAATACACGTGCATATCCATAATCATACGCGCGCGCGTGCGCACACACACACATATATGTAAATAAGAGATAAGTAAATAAAGACAATTCATTTAAATGCGCACCTTAAATTGCTCCATCACGACTTGGATGTTGCTTTTGTGCATATCAAGTCCAACTAACTTCTTTGGACCAGAGGGAAATTCGAGAACCCAAGGAGGACATTCAGGCCATTCCAACCATCTCAGTTCATTAGGAAGGCAGATAAGACCTTGGAAAGAGTTATGCACATTAATCATGATGAGCATCCTCAACCTTCTCATGTTTCTAAAAGCATTAGGACCTATGTATATTGCTTCTGTCTTGGGTAAATCCAAAACTATGGCTTTTATTGCATTTGTTCCCTGCATTTATAGAACTTGCATTACAATTAGTATACAAAGTCAAAGAACAAGAGAGTAAAATTAGTGTTTAAACGACCAAGACTTACCATATCCCCTGATAGCACATCACGGACATCTTCACAAAGCCATAACCTGCTGCGTCTTCCAGGATCATCGCGACATTCTTGTCTAACAATATCCATGCCCATCAATTGAATCAAGTCATGCATATGTAGTGTCTCCATTTCTGTATCTCTGAAGGTCTTCTCAACAGTTATTAAGGACTTCTCAACAAGAACTTGCACTCCAATTGTTGTGTTAAAGTTGCAACTATTGAGGACTCTCATAATGTACTCCATAGATCGCCCCTTGAAGAAACATGCAATATCAAGGAATATCTCCTTTGTATAGTCCTCTAGTCCATCATAACTTAACTTGAGAACATCATTGATGGTTTTGTCAGGACTTTTGGCAAGTTTATTCATGGCACTTTCCCACTCTTGTTCTCTTCTACCACATAGGAAAGAGCCCAATACCTCAAGTGCTAGAGGAAGTCCATTAGCATAATGCAAAGCACTATCCACAAGATCCCTCCTTATCACTATTTCCTTATTTCTAAGAAAAGCATGTTTATTGAAAAGTTCGAGAGCTTCCTGATTCGCTAGAGTTTTAACTTCATAGATATGATCTTTATCTATCCCATGGAAAGTTAATAGATGGTTATCTCTTGTGGTGATGATGATTCTGCTTCCTTTGCCAAACCATTCACGCTCTCCAGCTAAAGCATTTAACTGTTTTCTGTCATCAACATCATCGAGAACAAGGAGAACTTTTTTGTGGCAAAGTCTATCTTGTATCAAATTAATACCTCCATCAACACTAAACACTGTTAATCCTTTTCCCAGTAATATTTCGGACAACAATTTTTCTTGCAAAGGAACTAAATCCTTGGAATCTTTTGAAGTTTCCCGAACGTTTGCCAAAAAACACGAAGCATCAAATTGTCTAAAAATATCATTGTAAATGGCTTTAGCTAATGTTGTTTTTCCTATGCCTCCCTGTCCCCATAATCCTATCATGAGAACATCATCACGAGACTCAAGATTTAACATTGATTTCAACTTTACAACTTGTGGATGTATTCCAACTGGATGCTTGGCAACATGTAAGGGTGTTCGGTCTAACTGAATAGAGATCTCCTTCACAATTCTCTTTATAAGATCTGCTTCATCTCTGACAAAATCCAGAAAGGTCCTTGACACATTAATTTCCAAAGATAATAACTTTCATGGGAAAAAAAGAAGAAGAAGATGCGATTCAGCATATATAAGACAATAACAAAGCAGTGTAACATCAATCACTACTTAGTACTTACTTATCGTTCAAATCCCATCCGGATAAGCTACCGGCATCAAAGAGAGCCTTCTTCCATCTCTTCACTTTCTCCGAATCTTTCCCGAACTTGCTCTCATGCTTAACCATAGCTTCTCTGTAGCTCTCTCTTGGTGTTCTCACTTCTCTGGGTTCCACTTTGTAAAACACCGGAAAGACCATGAGGTCTCTTTGCTCCTTGCACTCCATGATTTTTGCCACCTCTTCCAAACACCACGGCGAGGAAGCATAGTCCTCGGAGAAAACGATGATCGCGATGCGCGATTCCTCGATCGCCTTCATAAGCACCGGCATTATTTGCTCTCCTTTCCGGAGCTCCTCGCTATCGACGTAAGTGTAGATTCCTTTCTGGTCAAGAGCTGTGTAGAGATGAGCGAGGAAGCTCTTCCGAACGTCCGTGCCTCTGAAACTTAGGAAGACGTGGTAATTCCCTTTCAGATTCACAGAAGCAGCCATTAGAGGAGATGACGGTTGATGTGCTTCCGCAGAATGTTTACTGTCGGGTCGGGTTGCAGCTTTATCTCTCACTGTCGCGACCTAACTCCGGCCAAGAGATATTTGTTGAAGGATGTAAACATTAATTGATTCGCTTGAAAGACAAACCAAATAGTTCATTAATCCAAAGACCGAGGCACTCCCAAGTCTCATATTTCACGCGACAAGAATTGTCTAAACTAAACATTCAATTGGAGTCGCCACTAGCTATGATCAAAGATTGGCTAAAAACTCTAATCGAGACGCGAGAGTATCGTCTCGATGCGTGAGAAAACCAGATATTCTAAAGGATCTGAGACTTGATTACACTAGCACCCATCCCGCAAAAAAATCATTCGGACCCCCCATTTTGGCATTTCGTCGAACATGGGAGGGGCGAGCACAAAACGGTGACTAACGCCTAAACTCAAGGTGTTTTTTTTTTGGGTTCAAACACGATACACATAGTTTAAGAAGGTCATGTTTTACAACAAAATGGTTCTGATTCACAGTAAAGTGTGAGAAAACAACGCAACCAAGTTCGGGGTTTTAATCACATTTTGCTTCATTGAAACCTTTTCCACGAAAGGGTGGTGTGTGACAAAAAGGAGAGCTTCAAGGCTGATTTCCGTGAGATTTTAAAGGTTGCTTCTCTCGCGAAGAATCATTCAAGAACACTCCTTGGGGAAAGTAAGGGACTATTTTCCTCGTTCTGTGATGCCGGGCAAACACCGAATGAGCTCGGTGAGCCCGGCATCCGAGAGGCAGAGCAAAAAGGGGGTCCAAAACAGAGTGGGGATAGGAAGACCCACCTGGTCGCGGCTGGCCGGAGCGTGTCACGGCGGCTGGAGGCCCGGCGGTGGCTCGGGCGAGCAGGCGAGGCTCTCAGTCTCTGATCTCGCCCTCAAGTTCTCTCGGTTCCCTCTCCTCCGGTAACTCTCCGCCTCGGTTCCTCTCTGCTCTCCGTCTCACTTTCTCCCCTGGGAACTCTCGGTTTTTTACGCTCACCCCAAAGACTCTCTCCTTTATTTTTTTTTCAATCTCCTCTCCCGCTCTTCTTTCTTCTCTCTTTCTTCCCTTTTCAAGCCAGTATGCCGAGGGAGAGGGAGAGGGAGAGGGAGAGGGAGAGCGTCCCTTTTTGGTCTCCCCTTTTTCTTCTTTTCAGTCCGCGTGCAGAGGAGGGAGAGCCCTCTTTATTTTGATGTCTCTCCTTTCTTTTCTTTTTCTCTTTTTTTAAATATTTTTTATAACGGCTTTTTTTTTAATAAAATAAAATAAAATAAAAAGAAAAATACGTTCTACTAAATTCTATTAATGCAAATGCGCATTCTACCTATATGTCATATAATTTAATGAAAATATTTTTATTTTAAAGTTAAAACTTAATTCTTAATTTTTTATATATTTAAATCCTAAATAATTAGGTAAAATTTAGATATTAACACTCATATGTGTGTATATATGTATATATGTCACTTTGCTCTTTGACCGTGAACTTCTTGAATCGCGCGGTAGTGATAATTAAAGAAAACCATAGAAAAGAAAATCAAAGGACAATTATTGCACGACTAATTTCCGCGGAAGGTGCATGAAATTTGTGCGCGTGCTTTTTCTTTTTGACTTGACTTGACTTGCTTTTTCTACTAATAAAGAAATAGAAACGAAAACCAACTATCGATTCTGATGCTCCGAGTCGGAAAGCTGAGCATATTCTCCGCCAACTTGTTTAATAGAAAGCAGATAGCGATAGAAAAGAAAACCAAAGGGCAATCAATGCACGCGTAATTTCCACGGCATTTTGCAGAAGGGGCGTGGAGCCATCCCTATGCAGTGGCTTCTTGACTTGACTTGCCCTTTTCCCATTAATAAAAGAAATAGGAAAGAAAACTAGCAATATTCCCATGCTCCTGGTTCTAATATACACGAGTCAATCGCACACGAGATTCTAGGAAAGCAAATCCCAAAATAAATTTCCCTCAATTCTCAAACTAAATTTCTCCGTACCACCGTATCTTTGCCGAAAGATTATTGAGTCATCACCTCCTCAGTCAAGTCACTTTGATCACACCCCTTAAAATTATTTTTTGTTTTTGACATTTTACATTTATTTTATACTTTCAATGTCACATTTAGAATTTCTCGGTTAACAGGATCGTGGAATACTTTTTTCCTTATTATTTCATTTTTGTCGAACCTTCTATTCTATGTTGACTGTTGACACTCTTTTTTTTCTTAACATTTTAGTAAATATTATCACTTATTCATCTGAAGGTGTTTGTCATTAGTGATAGGATATTATGAAATGAACCAACTATATTACAATATCAGCTTTATCTTCCAATAAAAACTGGAGCCTTACGACTTTGAATAGCAATGACATGTAGAGGATTCGTGGAATGGGATCTTCTGCTTCAATGTCTCAGTTATATTATTTAGTGCATGCATAGCTGCCTTTCGACGACGTTCTCATTCAGGAGCTTTTGGACACTTCTTGCGATAAAAGGAATGTGAAAGGTTGAGATTTCTATTTTCCATGGGTTTTGACTCGTGGATGATGTTATGAGAACATGCAATCTATGAGTGATTTGCCTTTTTTTCACCTTTCATATCAGATGAGACTTACTGAATCCTTTGGCATAAAGTTTGTGCATTCTCTCCCTTGGGTTGAATTGCTGAATTCAACTAGTACCATTAGGTGCGTTTGGTTGTCCGGATTTAAACATGATAGATCTGATAGATAGGATAAAAAATCATGGGATTTCTTTATATCCTATCTATTGTTTGATGGACTACGGATTTAAAGTCGGATAGGATAATTTTTTTTTGCTATTCATGGGTCCGGAGGAGTCGGTGAAGGAAAAAAAGCCGAGAAATTTTTATAGCGTTTTGGTGCTCCGTAGAGGGCCTTATGGAGAGTTGAGATGTGGCTCATTTGACGGTCGCCACCTCACTTTCGTTTGCTTTAATTTATTCTTTCCTCCTTTTCTCTTCATTTCCAAGAAATGGCTTATTAACAATAAATAGTACTTTGTCTAATATGTGGATGTTGAGATACACGTGATGAGTCGTGTTAGAAAGGTTTCATATAAGAGAATTTGTATGTTGTTGAGTAGTTAATATATCATAATTAATATATTCTAATTGGCTCATAACTCATTTGCTCAAGCTAATGAGTGAAACTGGATCCAATTAGATATGTTGATGGGCTCGGACGTGGACTCTCTCTTGGTGATCTCTCTAGCTAAAGGTATCCGACTTCTACTACGGCCCAACAAATGGTGTTAAAGCTGTTGATTGATTAGTGGCCTGCTCCCAATGTGTATCAATGTATGGTGCATATCTCAATGAAAGAATCTTGTAACTAACGTGGTTTCCGGATAGTCTTCATGTTCCAGTTTGGTGAAAGAAACTTAGAGTGAAGGTGAATGTTATGGTATCGTCATGCAGTTTTGATGGTAGCTTTTATGGTTCGGTCCAGAGAAAGAGACTAGGGATGAAGGGGTTGTCGGAGATTTAAGTTGAGATATGTTGAAGGATATTTGAATCTAGGGGGAGTAGACCTAATATTGAATTCACATGCGAGGGGGATAAGAACACCGATTGTTTGCGATCTCTCGGAAAGTTTTCGAATGCTAGAAGTCCCAAACTCACGAGAACTTCGTGGAGATCAACTCCCTTTGGAGAAATGCTACTAACATTGTCACCCAAAGGTGCCATCGTTTGATATGACTTGCTCGTTACCAAATAATATGCTCCATCAACAACACAAATGTCTTGGGTATAACAAAATGTTAAAATATGTCTCGAGTTTGAGTTCAAAACGAAAATCTGAATATTTCGAATTGATATTTTGTGGACATCCGAAATCGAGCGAAAGGAAATATTTGGAAGTTTACTTTCCTAATGATCAAGAGTTGGCAGCTAACAAAAGAAGGAAAAAAATAAACGCAAAAGGAGAAAAAGGAAAGTTGACTTGTTGACCGAATTTTAGTGGGACTCCTCGGTAGGGGTGTGCAACCAAACCGGATTTACCCGGGAACCGGGCCGGCCCACCCAAAAAACAGGTCCGGGAACCGATTCCTGTTTGAATCGGTCCGGGAAACGATTTTATTTTTTCGGAACTGGTTGGAACCGGTCCGGTTCCCGGGTCTAAGTGAAAACCCACCCGAACCGGTTTTAGAACTGGTTTTAAGTTACTGTAAAAAAACCCTAGCATTTGTTACTCTCAGTCGCTCCCTCCTTTTCCAGTTTGCGAGTCCCCTTTCTTCTGATCCTTCTCAGTCTGCTCGCGAGAACTCGTCGCTGCAACTGCTCGCCGCTCATCGCCGCGGCTGCTCGTCGCCTCTCGTCGCTGCAACCCAGCTCGTCGTCGCGGTTGCTCATCGCAACCCAGCTCGTAGCATCTCGTCGCTGCGGCTGCTCGCCGCAACCCAACTCGTCGCCACAGCTGCTTGCTACCTGAGTCGCCGTAACGCCGCTCGTTGCCGCTCGTCGTCGGAACCCAGCTTGTCGCCCCTCGTCATCGCCTCAGTCGCCACAACCCAACTCGTCGCTGCGGCTGCTCGCCACCTCAGTCGCCGCAACCCAGCTCATCCAACCCTTACGCCGCCGCGAAGGTCAGCTCACGGTTCCTCCCCCCGCCGATCCCGCTCCCACTACTACTGTTGTTTTTAGAGCGCGCGATTTCTGTGTGACGGCGAATCGATGTGGAAAAGAGACGAGAACGATCGAATCGCTTGTGACGAGAAAGTGTCGTGAAAGAGCTTGAAAAGGGAAGGGAATTGAATGTTCTGTGCACGTTGCATATTGTATTTCGATACTTTCCCCTTGCCTAAGTTCGAGTTTCAGTGACCCCAGACCTTGGATTATTTGTCGCCGCTTGAAATCTTGTGCTCTGGTTATGTTCTCAAAGTGAATCGGCAACGGTGGCTGATGTTCCCATCTTCCCCTTTGCCAAAAAAGCAGTTGAGATGACCTTAGACCAGCCCCTTCTTTGATTAACCAAGCCTTGTGTTTGAATAGCCTGGCTGGTGAGGATGATTTGCAGGATTGGAGAGGGACAACATGGATCTTTAGATCTGTTGTCACTGCCTATCGTGTCCTTCA